TCTAAACTTCTAGGAACTTTTTGTTCTGCGATTATATAGCCGTGTATGTAACATTAATCTGCCCGGAATGACATTACAGTTTTGCTCATGAAATATGGAACTTTGCATTAGTATAAAAACGGAAAAGGCACCAAAAATCCTTTAAAAGTGGAAAAATATAACTTGAAAATAAGGTTATATGTGACACAATCGGAAGATAAGGTTCCCATGCACCCCATGGATATATCTTTTAACTTAACCTACTTTTTTTGTAATCCTAATTAGGGTGTCCAGATAACGAATTTTGATGTTCCCAAGATCAAATATTGTCCCATGGGATTCATTTGGCGGCCATCTTGGCCGCCATTTTGGATTTCGACAAAAATCAGTTCATTGACATAACTTTTGAGCCAGGCATCATAGGAAGACATGGGGTAACTTGGGTGTAAGAAATCGATTGAATGCATTATTTTAATAATTTGGCGGCCATCTTAGCGGCCATCTTAGATTTCGACGAAAATCGGTTATTTGACATAACTTTTGAACTAGGCACCATAGCATTACGTGAAATACCCATTAGAACCAGACCCAAGTTTTCCTATGACAAACTCGGGTCTGTACTCACCGGTTTGGGACGGAGCAGTTTTCAATTAAGACCTTCCATCTGACCAAATGGTAGCCCTAACAATCCTGAGTCCTCCAATTTTAATACGATTTTGCACACCCCCTAGGGAGTTAGGGTTAAGAGGCCCGGACATGTGGTTTATGGCACCACTGCCTGTGAGTTTACTGACCAAAAATATCTACACAGATATAATACTAGGTTGTTGTTTATACTGTAAAGTAAAGGAAATAGTGTTAAAAGTTATTATGCAAGCAACTTTGAATCATAAAAATCCACCCAACATATCTCGAGAAAGGAAGTGATAAAACAGTCGGACTTTTTCTTGTTCTACCTCCATGGTTCATGCTTTTCATTTCAGATGGCCGATGCATATGCTGTGATTGATAGGGCACTCATGGTCACTGACCCTAGGGACCCTACAGCGGGTAGGAGTAACAGTAGTGAAACTGGTGAGATGAATCTAGAGTTTTTGGCTAAAGGGAGTTTCACGTAATGGGAAGACAAATTAAGGTTAGCTGGAAATGGTGATAATAGTTTATGTTATAGTGCGGTGGTCGATAATCATGCCAGTATGATGGTGATGCAGCCCATCCTTCACTCCTTGACGTACTGCAGAAAACTGTTGAGGAAGCGGAGAACAATAATGGAAGAGCATCAAGAGATTGATCATGATGAGGTTCTTGAAGATGACGACTAGACGTTCAGTTTGGCGATGAAATGTCATGATTACCACTTCTCTAGCTCGTCGTGTCGCTCAAGATGCAGTTGTGTTTGAACAATTTCCTCTTCACTAATTTCTTTGTGTACTCATACATATATTTTTGCCCATTACAATTACTAACATTTTAGTTTATTCCAATTTTCCACTGGAATTTTACTACTACCATGGCATCAATATGTCATGGCTGACGATGGTGTAGCGCACCAAAAGTCTTAGCTATAACGTCAGTATATCGATCAATGTCTTTCGCACTTTCTAGTGTGACTGTTAAGACCCACTCTTCAGTGGCAGTCCCTACCACATCGAGTGCAGGTCAAGGATGAGGGCACCTGAGATGAACCTGCCCGCTTCCTTCGTCTGGCTCCCTTGTCAGTCAGGAAGTCATTTCTAGCATTTTCAGCCCGCCTTCCTGTCGTCTGCAGTGCGTTCCCAGCTGTCAAGGTCCACTCAAGAAGACTTTAAGTCCCTCTTGCAAATATCCTTATAGCGGAGATACGGTCGCCCTACAGGTCTTGTATCTTCAACAAGTTCTCCATAAAGGAGATCCTTTCAGGAGCCGACCCGAGTCCACCCTCTTGACATGGCCCATGCCATCTAAGACGTCTTATGCCGAGGACAGCAAACGAGATCGGGATACCAGCACGCTCTAAAATCTCCGTGTGGGTCACTCGATCCTGCCAGCTCATGCAGAAGATGCGTCTGAGGCATCGGAGGATGGCAATTAACGAGCCGCTGGAACTGGGCTTCATTGTGGCACGCCAACGCTGCATCATCAGCAAACAGCAGTTCGCGGATGAGGACCTCGCAATGTTTTAGAGTGAAGGCGAGCAGTGTTAAAAAGTTTGCTATCAGCTTGAGTATCCAGTATCCAGGTAAAGATAGACATCCTTGGTGCAGTCTCCGAAAACGTACTTTATGAGCATTGAGAGAAACATACCAAAGAAAATGTGATCCAACACGCACCCGTTTTATTCCACTCCTCACTGGGAAGGCTGATGTTGCACCATTAAAGTACATTCATTCTGCTGTGCATGCCCTCGTGGATGGATGTCATCTTGCCCAGCAGCCAGGGGAAAGCCACTTGTGTGCTGGGACTTGGACCCTTTTTGCGGGCAAGGAGAGTTTTTTCGCCTGGCTTTTGTGACTGGTTCTTTTTCTTCCCAGTTGGGCTTGTACCAGTCAGCGTTCTTCTCCCTTAGCCTTTACCATTCCTTAGGTTATGCGCAAGGCAGCGGCTGAAAAGTGACGTAGACTGTCAACCACGACTAACGAGCTCCACCATCCTGGGTTTGTGATCAGAGTTTTCCTTCCCCTAGGCATAATGCCTACCCAGGCCTACGAGTTCGACCTACTAGCTGGGGTTGATCACAAACCCTGAAAGGTAAAATGTAAAGGGGACGAACCCGCAGGCGCGGTTCTACGGGGGTGGGGGGGGGGGGTGGGGGGGGTGGGGGGGGGGGTGGCTAGGGGGGGGGGGGCTGTAGCCCCCCAAAATTTGGTCTACCCCCCCCCCCAAATAAATTCCGTAAAAAAAAAAATGCATTAGCAAAAAGAAGGATTGTGATGTACATGCGAACGGTCTCCCCCTAAAGAAGAAATAGCCGTGACGAGGTGCATTAGTTAATATAGTGTGAATGATTTTAGGATTTTATTGGCGCTCCCCATTGAAAATATGGTATGAGCCCCCCCCCCCCCCCCCCTATTGATTTTCGGAGGCTTAAGTGTCTGGAAGAAATAACCGGTCAACATTTCAGCACGCCTCCCTAAAACATTCTGGATCCACCGTGCTAGCCCCCCCCCCCCAAATATTGGTTCTAGAACCGCGCCTGCATACCCGTGTTCCTGCGAACACGGGTTCGTCCCCTTTACCGTTTACTTTTTAGGGTTTGTGATCAGAGTTGTCCTTCTAGGTGGACAGACAACCAATTCTAACGAGTTCCACCTACCCGGAGCAACCTTGTAATAGTGCCATGGACTCGCTGACACTATCTGTCATTCCGCAGAAACAGGGTTGGCACGAGAAGCCAGACAGTAGGATTTGGTTAAGAGAGGCTAATGGTGAGACGCTGCAGTGCTATACAATGGAAATGAAACAGCTCTATTCTCCATTCCACCCAGCGCATCCTAATCCTTTAACCCCTGGAATATTATGCTTTGGAATACATGTAGATTAGTGTTTTGCAAGATTATGAGAGCAAATTAAAGATTTTAAGGTTTTTTAACTTGTTTAAATCATTAGAAAAATACATATTTTGCCATGCCCAAATTACCCCGAAAAACGTGTTCACTTGTCTTCCTGTGATGCCTATTTCAAAAGTGACGTCAAATAACTGATTTTCGTCGGAATCAAAGATGGCCGCCAAAATGGCCGCCAAGTTATGAAAATAATGCTTTCAATCGACTCCTCACGCCCAAATTACCCCCCAATACATGTTCATTTGCCTGCCCATGATGCCTAGTTCAAGTTACGTCAAATAGCCAATTTTGGTCAAAATCCAAGATGGCCGCCAATATGACTGCCAAATTATAAAAATAAAGCTTTCAATCGATTTCTCACACCCAAATTACCCCCAAAACTTGTTCATTTGTCTTTCATTGATGCCTGGCTCAAAAGTTATGTCAAAACCGATGTTGTCAAAATCCAAGATGGCCGCCAAGATGGCCGCCAAATGAACCCCATGGGACAATATTTGATCTTGGGAACATCAAAAATAGTTATCTAGACACCCTAAGGATTACAAAAAAGTAGGTTAAAAATATATATCCAGGGGGTGCATGGGAACCCTATCTTCCGTCTAGACTACATTTCCAAGGTTTGCTTTGAGAAAATTACCTTTTTGCATGGGCCCTTTTAATGAGTGTTCAGACAGACATACGCATGAATGAACCTTCAGGAGTAGAGTTATGATCGTTTAAAGGAAGTGGCCCTAGAAATGAAATTGAGAAATTACCCAAGAGAAGTGTTCCCGATGGAACAACCATCGCCAAACATACATGCCCCAAAGTCTTGGACGTCAAGAAATCGTCAACGTAAAGATGCCCCTTGCTCAAACGTTTAAACAAGTAGAAAAGATCGACAGTGAAAAACAAATTTCGATAGCTCTTTCATTTCATTGTTTTGATACATCTTCTATTCCTCATATCGATTAATTCTTTACATTAAAATTTTACAGTCACCAAGATTTTTTGGGGAAAATTAACCTCAGGGAAAAATCAATCGCCATTAGGCGCAAGTCCATCATACTCAATCAGTATTTAGTCACGCCTGGCCCTCTGGACCAAGTACCCCAAAATTAACCAACATGGGGGGATGGATTTTGATAGAGTTGGAGTTGGGATGGTTAGGGTTAATGAAAATTGTTGACTGCAGTGATGCGGTTTAGGTCGTAATTAACCCCGTCGGGCGGATAGCACCATCGATTTTCGCGTCGGGTGTTATTTACCCCTTGGGTATTAAAAACGCCATATCCCACATCACAGCAGTCAATAATTGTTGAATGCAATGATTTGACAAAGCGCGGCTGTGTGTTGTAATAGGCCCTCTCGAAAAAAATGGTATCCTCACTCATGGCTCCCCCCCCCCTCCCCTTCCCCCGGGTGTACAAGTATCAAAGAAAACTCACAACATAACAGTTCACCTGTAATTATATATTAAACGCAAGAATGTGATGGGATTCAGTTATGTATGGCATAGGCTGCAGAGCCAATGTGATCTTGGATCCAGTCTTTGTAAGCTGAGAGTCTGGTGTAAATTCCATATCGACCCTCTTGAGCACAGCCTTCTCCCCAGCTGACAATGCCTATCTGGACCCATCGTTTGTTGCCGTCTGCAGCGGTCATCTGCCTCATGACTGGTCCTCCTGCGTCTCCCTTACATGCGTCCTGGTTCCCTTCTGGATCGCCTGCACAAAATGCTATGTCGGGCTTGTATGCAGTTACAATGCTACACTCGAAGTGATCTTTGAAGCTATTCCTGCATTCATCATCCGTGCGAACAGTAACAGCAAGTTGCTTAAGTAGGGGTGAAGTTCGTCGGGGAGCGTCTCTACAATTGTCTAAATCATAGGGGTCTGTGGTTCCCCAACCAGCCACAAACGCGTTTCCATTTTGTGAATAAATCACGGCATCTGGAAAATAATACCAATCCAAAGCATGTTAACTCAATATTTTTGTCTTCAGGTACCGGTAGCACGCTCGTGAAGCAGGGTCACTTTGGATAACATTTCTGAACTAAACTCGAACCGAACCCGTACCGAAACCTGAACTGAACCTGAAGGCTCACTTACAGCATGTAAGCTATTGTTCTTTGTTGTGTTGTTCTGGCAGTAGTATAAATGGAACACAGAATAACCACAAGCCATGAGGCTGAAGAACGCTGAGTGGCATAATTATAATGGGACTCAGAAGCGCTAAAGTTATCCTAATGCAAACCTGCACAGTAAAGATGCAATGTATAAACTGTGTCATTTTTAGCAGTTGTCCCATTACACTTAAATACAGCAAGTTCACGTGATACCGAAGTTTTGTAAGGACAATTTGCCCATTGTTACCAAAGATGTTTGTATGTTGCTGTTAGTGTGGAGGCAATACATCCTCAATCGAACTTGCTTATCATTATTCCTGCTCATTCATGAGGCCCATAAAACATTTCTAAAAGCACCTGAACTCCATAATTGACGTTCAAATGGTTGAATCAAACTCTGAACCTACAGAAGGATTAATTCTGTCCTGAGTTGGGAGAAATCCATGATTAAATGTCTTTGTAAGATTTGCACTTGACGCAGTGGCCCCTCGCGCGTGCAGCTGCGGTGCAGTCATAGATATAGCATAAAAATCTAGATCGGCAGTACGTACAGACGCGCGTTCTGCCATGGGCGGCGCCATTTTTCAGCGCGTGGGACAAAAGCTGCGTTACGTGCACCTTTATTTCCGTAGGTTTGAATGCAGAGTGATATTTTATGTCCGTAAAAGTAATATTTGTGACCTGTAGTATTTATTTCCCCAACAATATTCAAAATGGGTTACCAAGCTGCATGTTCATTTCGAAGTTTTGTCCATTTTATTCTTCGTATTTACTTTCCGTTTTAAAAAGCTAGTGCGCGTTGCTAAAAAAAACCTTGCATCCAGTTGTTTAAGTGTTATTTGCTTCAGAATTAAACAGAGTACTGTGGCGAATCAGGGTACCTACCGACTAGTCTAATCTATGAATTATGTATGCGCGCATAGGTCATTAATATTTATGGTGCGCGTAGACCAATCCGCAATGAAAATATATGGCGTGACTGGAGTATCAATGATGCATGAACGCGCGTAAGCCAATCACCAGCGCGGATCGCGCAAATCAGGGCACTTATAAAGTGGGGCTCGACATCGCCTAGCCAGTTGGTTTCAAGATGGCGACGGTGATATAAACCGAGACCTCATTGCGTATCATTTCAGCGAGAACTCGTGCTAAATCCTGAGGGTTATTCAGATTTAGGGACAACGTCCTGTCGACATACACGGTGCGACCGGTGAGTTGGTGGAGTCTCACAGGTTTTGTTATTGACTCAAATTACGGTCTATCATCTAAGATAATTGGTGACAAAGATTTAGTCGGGAAATTAAGACTGACTATGTTGTCTTGATTAATTAGTGCTAGAACAGAAGGGGCTAGGAGTTGTGGAATTTGGTTTGAGAGGCTAGTGGGACTGTGATTCGATAATAGATTGCTTGTCGTGGTCACGCTTCAGTGACCAGGTGGCTTCTGGCTTCGTACCGATTGGGGTGAAAGAAATTAGCATACCGGACCCGGTACCCGAACGGTCTGTTATCTGATGGCTCGCCTTACACAGTGAGTTGCTGAGTTTTGCAACTAGCCCCGCTTGTGGGGATATCCAACAAGGTTGTCGATGAGGTCGACTCACCTGGAAAAGGCCCATGGCAACTTAAAAGGAAGTCACGGTTAGTGGGTGATGAGGTGGGCGGTAAACCTCACGGTGGTAGGCCTCGCAGGCCTACAATTACCCCCGACCGGTATAATGGTAAGGTTCTGTGGAACGATTATTACCGCCACTTTGTGGTGTGTAAGCAGGTGAATCAGTGGAGTGAGGAGCAAGCGACCGAATTTTTGGGTGATTGCTTTTAGTTGGTATCTTAAAAAAAGCAGCAAAAATCACTTAGTTTACGTCTTTCCAGATGCCCAACAAGGTACACTCCAGCGCACCTTCCACTTTAGTGCCGTAAAACAATGCACTACACTGTATGTACATTGTACAATACGCGTATTACACGTATATGTGTGTGCATGTATTGCAGAGCATGTGCATACATGTTGTACAAAAGTTAGCAATTCCGACTTGATCAATCTGCCATCAGCACCCCCCCCCCTCGCGTGCACGCGCCTGTATTCATCGATTCATATGCAACACCGTCTCTATGCATATGCAGCAACATCGCTTGACCAATCAAAGTTATCAACTTTTTAGACTGGTTCATAATTTTTAGTAGGTATGGAAAGCTGGATAACAATCTGCAAAAGTTTTAAAAACGTAATCTTAATTTGTAGATTTCAAACAAAATATTTTTGGATGATAATGCTAAGATCAGCAGCTCTTGGATGGAATTGATAAAGAACATGACATTAAAATGTTTTTTCAATACAAAAGGGAATTTTTATTTGGGTTAACCTGTAAAAGATGTTGAGATTCATTGATACCACTTCGTGTTGTGCGTACCCAGCTCCGTTTCAAAGCATTCAACGTACGCGTGCGTGTATCTGTTTCTACTCCTTACCATTGGATGCGTGTGCGCTCTCTGCGAAACTTTTCCTGCGCGAATACACGCAGATAAGGCTAATTGCGTAGTTAGGAATAATATCAAAACAACCTGAGCGCGGTCTTAAGAATAAAAACGCTCATTACCTGAAATACTGTGATATGATTGGCTTCTACCAAAATCGGTAGAAGCCAATCACAGCGAAAGTTAATTTCCATAGACTGTGTACAAACGTGGAACAAACCAGCGCGTACGCCTGGCAGATTGACCAAGTCTGGGTTGCTGCATCACTTGAAAATAACATGTACATGTACGTTTTTAACGTGATGGTCCGAATTCGACGCATGAGGGCGCGCGTTATGTACTGTAAGGACGTATGCGATATGCGCTGTGAGTGGATTTACTATAGTCACAGACCGAGCGCAACCCAGATTTAGCCAAGTGTAGGCAACAAGGCGAGTTTTCCTCAGAGGCAGTCACCAAAGCCTGAACGGAAAACGCCTGGTGGGCTGAAATGTTTCAAGTGTGGTGAGGTCGGTCATTTCAGACGGGAATGTACCAAACCTCGTAATGAGAGATGGGCGCAGGGAAACGCAAGCCAGCCGACCGGTGGGCCCACGGGCAGGCTGGGCATTTCCGAGGGCCCGAAATTAAGAGAGGACAAGAGTCGGGGACAAACAAAGCCGCCGGTAGGCGAGGACCAGAAGGCAGAGAGCCAGTAGGCACTCGGCCAAGCAGTTGTAGTCGGCCTAGGTATGGGCTGTTTGTTAATCGTGTTGTGAGGGAAGCAAAGTGTAGGTTCCTGGTTGATTCGGGGTCGACCGACACACTTATTAGTAGTCGTGTCTACCATAGAATTGCCAAGGAACAAAGGCCTGTGCTGGAAGCAGAAGTGTCCAGCATTTCAACAAGTTGATTGGAGTCCATTGGCTGTAATGGGCGCTGCCTAGGTGGACATACAGTTGGGTAAAACTGCGTACCCAGTGCGTGTTATTTTCAATCATGTCAAGTATGACGGCATATTGGGCATGGATTTCTTGTTACCGACTGGGGGTAATTTAGATTTCCAAAGCCTTGAGTTGAGGTTAAACGGGGACCGGGTAAAATGCACAAGTGGAGCCGGAGAGCCGTTCGTTGGCAGGGTGATGGTGGCTGAAACCACGGAGATTTCTGCGGGCCATGAGGCTGTTGTGCCTGGAACTGTTAGCAGTATTGCTGAGGCATTGGGAGAGCCGGCAATCATCGAGCCTGTGGAAGGTGAGGGCGAGTTGGCTCAGCGAGGGCTAATTCTAGCCCGGTCGCTGGTTCAGTCACAACCCGAGTCTCTCGCTCTGCGGATATTCAATCCGACTGAGGAGAGTCGAGTTGTTCGGCTTGGAACAACTGTAGGCACTTGTGCAACAGTTGAAGTCGATTCAATAGTAGTTCCGTGTGAGAATCGTGGGTGTGAGGTCTATGGTGACCTGCCGTCTCACCTGCACGATTTGTACAACCGGAGCAAAGTCAACCCCAGTGAGGAGCATCATTAGGAGGTGAAGGCTTGTTTGATCGAATTTCATGATGTATTTTCTTCTTGTGATGGTGACATAGGGCGGACTGATGTGGTCAAGCACCACATCAGTACTGACGATGCGAGGCCAATCAAGGAGAGGCCCCGGCGCCATCCCCTGTGTAATCCAGAGGAAATAATGAGGCAGGTTGGTTCGAGGGGTTATCGAACCATCTGATAGTCCCTGGGCTGCAAATGTCGTTTTAGTCCGGAATAAGGACTTGACTAAACTATTTTTTGTCGACTACCGAGGTCTGAATAGGGTAACAATTAAAAATGCTTACCCTGTCCCTCGTATCGACGAGATAGATGCGTTGGCGGGTGCAGAGTGGTTTTCCACTCTGGACTTGGCATCTGGGTATTGGCAGGTTGCCCTCGATGAGGACGCCAGCCAGAAGTCAACCTTTGTGGTGTGGAACGGTTTATACAGGTGGCGCTGCATGCCTTTCGGGCTTTGCAACGCCCCTGCCACGTTTGAAAGATTGATGGAGAAGGTGATGGCAGATCTTCAGTGGGATATCCTGCTGATTTACCTGATGATGTCAACGTGTTTGGCAAGACTGTGAGAGAAGAGATTGAACGTCTGCGAGTTGTTTTTTCCAAGTTGAGGCAAGCTTGGTTGAAGCTGAAGCCTAGTAAGTTTTTTTTTGTTTCAGAGATCGGTGGGCTATTTGGGACATGTTGTGTCAGCGGAAGGTGTGGCTACCGATCCTGAAGAGGTTCGGGCCGTGGCTGAATGGCAAACACCTAAGTGTGTCAAGGAAGATCGAAACTTTTTAGGCCTCGTTTCCTATTATCGGAAGTTTATCAGGGGATTTGCCGATGGAGATGGAATAGGGGCAGTTTTGTCTCAGGTCCATGAAGGGCAGGAGAAGGTCCTCGCCTTTGCGAGTCGTAAACTCAGCAAGGCAGAGAGGAACTATTGTGTTACTCGTCGGGAACTGTTGGCGGTAGTTGTCTACCTCAAGAGGTTTAGACAGTACTTGTATGGTCAGAAGGTTTTACTTCGAACCGATCACGCTGTTATCCGGTGGTTGCTTAACTTTAAGGACCCCGAGGGTCAGCTTGCGAGGTGGCTCGAAGTCAAGGGCGGATCCAGAACACAATTTTTTAGGGGCCAAACAATTTTTGGGTTCCCCCAAAAAGTGGATCCAAAAAATTACGGCGTGGGGTTCGGGTCCCGCTTAAGGGCACCGAAAAAAAATTGGATTCTAGATGCTCTGTGGTGCGATCTGACGCAATTTCTGACCACACTAAAAATAAATGTTTTTTTCTTGGGGGGGGGCATGGCCCCCTTTGCCCCCCCCCCGGATCCGCCCTTGCTTGAAGTGATCAGTGAGTATGATGTGACAATTCAACACAGGCCTGGGCGTAAGCATGGAAATACTGTTGGGTTGTCCTGGAAGACCTGCAAGCAGTGCAGTCGTGCTGACGCTGATGAAGCGACAGCGACCGTCGGGGCATCAAATGATGCCAAAGTGACCAAGATCAGTGAGGGTTACCATGAGGTTGACTCTGACTTGCCGATTCCTGAGGCGAGTGTGAGGGACATCTTTGCCCAACCACACTTGCCTAGTAATGCAGTCAGAGAAGAACAACTTGGTGATGCTAGTGTTTCGTGGATAGTACGGGCAAAAGAGGAGTCGGGCAGTCGTACCAGTTGGGAGACTGTATCGGCCGCGTCCTCGGCGCACAAGACACTCTGGTCCCAGTGGGAGGTGCGGGACGGTGTCCTT